AAGTTGTGTAACATTAGATTCAAGAATTCATTTATTGAACTATTTCATTTCTCTTTATTATATTCAACTCTATTATTCATATTTTCATTGCAAAAATCATAGTTTGACAAATATCATAAATAAAAGGAAAAAATACATTTCAATCATAATTAACAAGTCCAGTAAACATACGTGTAATATCTACACCAGAAAGACGTGATAGTGAATCCTCTAATTTCCTTCGATAAGAGGGCCTAATAAGGAACAACAATGGCCAAGAATGGCAAGTTGCTCTCAAAGAATGGTCAAGAAACAAGTGACATATATTAAAACAATTCTTTCTCAGTAAAAGATATGGTGATTTAGGTGCTTAAGTGACTTATTTTAACATAAGAATTAACAATGTTTAGAAAAAAAATTAAAAATGAGTATTATATAAATTTGGATAACTAAAATCAAATACAATCAATTTTTTTAAGAACAAAAATATATTTAATTATTTTATCTAATATTTTTCATATTATGGGAGGAGCCCCTAGGTGGCTTGAAAAGTGCACAATATAAGCATGAACAGTGATTACATAAATCAACAAAAGAAAAAAATAAGCAAAAAGATAATGTATATCACGGGGGAAAATTTAATGTTATGAACAAATCCTCTGATATAAATAGCCAACGGTTTCCGAGTTGCATAATCAATTGTGATATTAGTAAACAAGCTTACTCTTATCAAATATTCTCTCTGTTTTTTTTTTTCATAGTCGTTTTATCATAATTTGTTGTTTTTTTTTTCATTGTCATTTTACTAAAATTAATGACTTATTAATTTTTTTTTCTTCATTTTTACCCTTGATAATTAATACATGTTTACTGAATAATGTGTGTATTTATTTTTAATGTCTACCTATTTTTTCTCCAACTACCCATATAAAGTTAATGTGCATTTATAAGAACAATATGTTCCCAACAAAATACTATAAAAATATAAAAAAAAGGGACAGGTATAATTAAATACAGTGGTTACAGTTCACGTGTAATCAATGCATGAATAATTAATGGAGTAGATTGCAGTTCAACAGTCTCAAAAATACAAAAAAAAAAAATAAAGGGGAAAATAGGAAAGTAAGTAATAAATATTTTTGAAAACTAAAATATCAATGATTTCCTTAAGTCCCGTGCAAAATCTTAAACGACTATGAAAAAAAAACGGAAGGAGTATTTAACAAGATTCAAGTATGTGACAACAAGGATTTAGTCAAAGTCAAAAATTAATGTATATCACGGGGTCTTAACACTTGTACAGTATTTGACTAATGCACCAGGGACTTTTACACTTTTAACTCCTAGTGGCTCCATTGAGTTAAGCAGAACCTACATAAGAAAATATATCCAAATATCATATTATTTATATAATAAGCTTGACTAGGGATGTGCATAGTTTGGTTTTTTAAAAAAACCGCACCAAATTGCACCGCACTATTTTAATAAAATGAACTAGTTTATAAATTATGTGAACCACTTTAATAAACCATTTTAAAATTGAATTACTTTAATAAACAAGTTTATAATCGATTTAAAACCAGTTTCATAACCAAACCAGTTTTTGAACCGGTTTTAAGAAATAAACCAGTTTTAAATTGGTTTTAAGAAATAAAACAGTTTTAAATAAATTGTTAATACATTTTCTTTCAAAGGAATTCAATATTTGAAAGGTTTGTTGGCCGACTGAAGGACATTGTTTGATATACATGATCAAAATCTGCATTATGACAACCAACAACATCTATATGTGCAGCAAAGTAACAATTAACAAAGCACATTATCCGATCATACACCCTAATCCTCAAATCAACAACTCCCTAGTGAAACAAACATCTCCTATGTCAATGAACAGAATAAAAAAAATTGAAACAAAACTAGTGTTTGTAGGAAAATAATATTTTTGCACGTTAAATATAGAACAATGTGACAATGTTGCCAATAGCACCACCATGGAATAACATTTTTGGGGGATCACAACCATAATAAAACCTATGGCATGACATTCAATGTGGAACCACCTTAGTTGTGGCATCCATGGCATGTGGCATGAGCCATACCAAAGTGGTCGAAAAGTGCATTATTTTCTTAGAACAACACCAAGCTTTTGAGTTGCTTCAAAGTTCTTAAGAACAGAAACCTTCACTAACAATGTCCGAATCATCATTAAAGTATCAAACATACTCCATACTGTATATTTTCTTTTTCATGATTTTGATTATCTGATGAAATCACAGAGAAAATTGCTATGTGCTCTGCCTCTCCCTGATCCTCCATTATATTCAGTTTTTCATAGTTCTTTTTTATTTTTTTTTGATGAATTGGTTCCATGCTTCAATAAGAAACTAGCATGCCATGTGCCATGCTTTTCTCTGCAATTACTAGTTACTACCATTGACCTCCATATGCAATTGGAAAAACTGTAGAGCAATTCTGAATGGTGATTTTCAATATTGGTAGCAAATTAATAATCACTAATGAATACACTACAGTATGACATGTCACATGTGACACCCTCTACCCTGCATACCATAACACAAATAATAAAATTTGAATAACAAAATATTTCATTTTTAAAATACCAAACATGTTCAGATAGAGAGCACCACATCCATGACTTAAACAAATAACATAATCAGTGGAAATTACAAAATAAATAAGGATAAGGTTTTCAAAATAATTTAATAGAAACAACATCCTAATCTAATCCTATTTATGCCCCGATGTCACATGTCCTATCGGAGCAAAACTCAACATTGAAGCCTAAGCTTCATCACCAACATCCTCAGCCTCATGCTGATGATCACCTGTATAATAACCAAAGAAAACAGCACAAAAGAAAAGAAACATCTCACTCTAGCTCACGATGTAGGAATACACACCGGATAGCCAAACACAAACAAGACATGTATATGTACATAGCATAGATAGATTAACAATATCACATCCCACTCATCCAAGACATATAAATCATTTAACATATAACATTAAAATGCACATGTAATGGACATGGATTACATATTATCATGCATGTGGTGCCAGTAACACATCACAATATCCAATATTTTACACTATTAATAGATGAAATTTATTGAAAATAACAAATCTTAGTGACTCCCACAACTCACTAAGATTTATTATGTTCAATAAATTTCAAACAATTTTTGTGCCAAACACTCTTTATTACCTGAAATTTGTTGAAAATCAAAAATCTCGGTGACTCCCGCATCTCACTAAGATTTATTATTTTCAATAAAATTCAAGCAATATCAAATATTTTGTCTAACATGCTATTCATTGCAGACTAAAATTCATTGAAAATTACAAATCTCAGTGACTCCCGCATCTCACTAAGATTTATTATTTTCAATAAAATTCAAGAAATATTAAATATTATGTCTATCGCTATTAATAGCTTAAAATTCATTGAAAATTACAAATCTCGATAATCTCCTGCATGTCACTAAGATTTATTATTTTCAATAAATTTCAAGCAATATACGATATTTTTTCTCTAACATTATTAATAGATGAAATTTATTGAAAATAACAAATCGCAGTGACTCCCACAACTCACTAAGATTTATCATGTTCAATAAATTTCAAACAATTTTTGTGCCTAACACTCTTTATTACCTGAAATTTGTTGAAAATCACAAATCTCGATGACTCCCGCATCTCACTAAGATTTATTATTTGCAATAAAATTTAAGCAATATCAAATATTTTGTATATCATTATTAATAGCTGAAATTCATTAAAAATTATAAATCTTGGTGATCTCCCGCATCTTACTAAGATTTATTATTTTCAATAAAATTCAAGCAATATCCAATATTGTTTTCTCTAACACTATTAATAGATGAAATTTATTGAAAATAATAAATTTCAGTGACTCCCATAACGCACTAAGATTTATTATGTTCAATAAATTACTAACAATTTTTGAGCCTAACACTTTTTATTGCCTGAAATTTGTTGAAAATCACAAATTTCGGTGACTCTCGCATCTCACTGATATTTATTATTTTTAATAAAATTCAAGCAATATCAAATATTTTATCTATCGTTATTTATAGCTGAAATTTCTTGAAAATTACAAATCTCGGTGATCTCCCGCATCTCTCTAAGATTTATTATTTTCATTAAATTTTAAGCAATCCCTAATACTTTTTGTCTAACACTGTTATTGACTCAAATGTTTTGAAAATTTCAAATCTTGGTGACTCCCATAACTCACTAAAATTTATTATTTTTAATAAAATTCAAGTAATATCAAATATTTTGTCTAACACTCTATTCTTTGCTAACTAAAATTCATTGAAAATTACAAATCTTAGTGAATCCCGCGTCTCACTAAGATTTATTATTTTTAATAAAATTCAAGCAATATCAAATATTTTGTCTATCGCTATTCATAACTAAAGTTCATTCAAATTATAAATCTCGATGATCTCTCGCATTTCACTAAAATTTATTTCAATAAAATTCAAGCAATATCAAATATTTTATCTATTGCTATTAATAGCTGAAATTTATTAAAAATTACAAATTTCGGTGATCTCCCTAAGATTTCTTATTTCCAATAAATTTAAAACAATATCCAATATTTTTTCTCTAACATTATTAATAAATGAAATTTATTGAATATAACAAATCTCAATGACTCTATTTTTGAAGCTTATTAAACTTCAATACATTTAATCCACAAGTTACACATGTTGAGAATTTGAGATCAACTCTTTAGTATATTATTTATTTTTTAAAATATAAATTATTGTTTTAGTATTTTAAATAAGAACTATTTTTTATATTGTATCTATTATACTTTCATTATTATTAAAAAGCGATTTTGTATTATTTTATAATATTTTCAAAATTTAAAATTATTTATCATTTTTTTAAATTACTTTAATTTTTTTTTAATTATTCAGTCATCAAATAAACCCTAAAATCCTTTTAAACGCGCGTTTTGACTCTTATTCTTTCAAACAACTTTTACCTCTTCTCAATCTCGATCTCAATCTCACATTTCCAAGCACTGATAGAAAACACAAAAAATCTCACACTGAGAAGTAGTAGTAGTAGTGAGTAACAATTGAGAATGAACAAAGGTGGAGCAGGAGGGTTAGGTGGTGGTTCCGGCGCCGGAAGCGGACCCACGGCGGCGGCCGCTGCGGCGGCGGCGCAGAAGCAGAAGACGCTGCTGCATAGAGTCGAAGGTGATATCGCCAACATCGTCGACAATTTCAGCCACCTCGTCAACGTTGCAAGGGTATATTTATTTATACATTTAATTAATTAATTAATTAATTAATTAATTAATTAATTTCTGCATTTCCCTTTCCATCATTTAGCTCACTCACTTTTCGTTTCTATAGATCTGGTTTTTGTGCAATTTCCGTTTTGATTGCGTAATGAAACATTACCAGACACACGCATAACTCTGACACCACAGGGTTCTGTTATATTCAGTTCATCCAAAAAAACATCAATTCGTGTTAGCCTTGTCTGATGCAACTTTGCAATTTTTTGAAACAAGCTATATGTAGGATAAGGTGAGGTTTTGAATGGGGAATTCACTTGACCTGAGTCAGAACTAACATATTATTATGCTTAAAATAAGTCTTATTAGGCTTAAAACAAGTCTTAAAGGGAGGCTTATTTAAATTTTGTAACAATATCTTTTAATACAAAAATAAAAATATTTTAGAGGCGAACCTTTAAAAAAAAATTATATTCTTATATTTTAGAAATTGAACTTTTTAATAATGTTAAGTTATTGAAACTTGAAAAAATTATATAAATATTAATATAAAATAAATTCTTTTTTTGAAGGAAATCTAAAGAGAGAGCTTTGTTGGTCTACTCTTTGGGCCGGCCCTGCTTGACATATGGAACTGTAGCATGGGTAAGGTTTTAAATTGGAGGTCGGTTGCACATAGTTTTGTCACTAACCTTGACAATGGGAGAAATGTAGACAAATATGGCTGCAGTGAGTAAGAAAACCTTTTTTAAAAAACTACAGTTTGACTTGGATGTGAAGGAAAGGGGAGGGAGGACACTGAGGATGAGCAAAGCGATTTGTCTTATAGAATCAATTATGGGGAGAAATCATTTGATGTTTTTGGTCACTGTTGTGTTGGTTTGGTGTGAATTTGGGTAGACATTTTTGGAGTTAATTTTAGATGATCTTAATTCTGCAAAATGGATTTTGGTTGAAAATGAATTTGGAGTGAAATGATGTATGTTCAAAAACATTTATGCTAAGAGTGAGTTGTAAAACTTTATCTATTCAACACCACAGCTGTGTTATATTGCTTCTAGTCTAACATGCTCTTGGGGGCAAAGAAAAGTTTGGTTTGAGACAATCAAACATGAATATTTTTTCTTTTTAGGCAATTGTGTTTGGTACTTGAAATGTGGGTTTGGTTGTCTCAAATGCCCATCTGAACATATTCTTATCGTTGAGAGGCTGGAATAATCAGAAGTTGCAGTTAAGGCGTGGCAAAAGGACCAAGACTTCATGATTCAAGAGGCTGTATGAAAAAAAAAAAAAAAAACTACCTTAGAGTAACTTCGGTGATGTCATTTGCATTGATGGTCTGTTATGATTGATTTTATCCATCTCTGGTGGCTGTCAATGGCCTATGTACTAGGATGTTGGAATGGAGTTTAGAGATAGGATTATAGAATCTATGGTGTCAGATTTTTCCATGGGTTGGTTAATCTTGGAAATAGAAAATTGTATATGTTTCAATTACAATTTCAAGATGGCCTGGCCTGAGTATAGTGTCTTCTAATTTACTTATATATTTTTTCGTTACTTTTTTTTGACTTCAAGACTATGAAGCTTGGATACTCCAAAAATGGAAAAATATAGGTGTCATACCCATGTTGGATACCAATACTCCTTGGATACTTCCAAATACGTATTTGAAAAGTATCCAATCTTTTTTTATTTATTTTTTAATTTTTTTTTCTCAGATACTTCCTGAATACTTATTGGATACTTCTAGATACGGATCTGAAAAGTATCCTTAAGCTTTTTGTACAATTATGTTCTTTTTTTATGCTATGTAAGAAATTGGAGTCCATACTCCTTTTTTCATTCTTTGAAGAAACCAAAATGAATCCAAAAGGGTAAAAGATTTGGTTTATGTGCATTTCAAGTTTCAACTTTTGTTTATGAAAAAAGAAGGGCATAAAAAATGAGAGACTAGGTTGTGGGGCATTGATAGAATATACATCATTCACTTGATGATGGTGTTAGACTTCTTTAATTGGCATAATTGTCTCTTAATTAGGGGTGACAAATAGATGGATCGGATATTTTTTTAGGCGGATCATTATAGATCTGATAAAAATAATCCATTAATCCATTTAGATTCATTAAAAATACAAAAAAGAAATTCAATCCATCCAATCATTTAAAGCAAAAAATCTATCCAATTCATCCATTAATAATATTTTTCATGGATGGATATCCAATCCATCCTTAAAAATAATGTTTTAAATATTAATTAATTCTTATTTTTGAAATATTTTATTTCTCTCCCTTTTCTTTATAATTCATTACATGCTTATATAGTTTTTTGAAATTCACATGACTTTTTTTCTTTTATGTCAAAATAGTCTTTTAAAATCTCAATTTAATAAACATCTCATATTGTAATCCAATGGATTTTGAAAAATTAGTGGATGAATCTCTAACCATTCATAAAATTAAATGGATAGATTGAATCTGATTTATTATTTATTTTATTGCAATGAATGGATTGGATGAATTTACTTGTGGATGAAGGATGGATAAATCATAAATGGATTTATTTGTGACCCATATTCTTAATGAACCAAACTTTGAAACTAAGTTTTTCTTCTAGATGACGGTAATAGGGGAAAAGAGAGTGATACAATAAGCACTAGATAGTAATTTAATAAAGATGTTTTTGAGTCGCCATTGTATATAAGGAATACTAGTTTTAAGTTGTACCAAAGATGCTTTTTTTAATATATTTAACTTGATATGGGCAAAAACTGTATTTTTTTTTGTTATGATCACAAATGTATTTTCTGTAAATTGTAATCATCATAGTTATGAAGTAATGATAAAAAAATTAATGTCTATTTCTTTACTAATATTCTACATGTATATAAATTTTTCTATAAAATTTTATTAACGTAACCAGAACGTATCATATCCTAAATGTTGGAAAAAAATGTCCTGAATTTGTGTTGTATCATACCCGTGTCATACTAAGTATCTCGGTTTCATAGCTCCAAGAAAATGGTGGATGTAATCTCCTATTTACTAGTTCCAATTGACTAGTTTCTTGTTCTCAAACATGAGTAATAGTTTGTGTTCACATCTGCTCCTATGTATGTTGTTGGGGAAGATGATCCTTCTCTTCTTTGATAGCCACTATACATCCATTCTTTCTGCTCATGATTGCACTGCTGTGTGCCAAGAGGATAATTAAGAGTCAACATGCATACACAGGATACTTGGGCCCTCGGGCATGTCTGCAATATGTTAATATTTTATTTTTGTCCTTGTTTGTTCACTTACAACCTTGCATTCTTGCAGGTAAATGACCCACCAGTTAGAAATTCACAGGAAGCTTTTATGATGGAGATGCGTGGTGCTAGGATGGTGAGAGTGCAGTTTTGTTGATTCTTGTGATTCTGAACAAGCATGCCTACAAATACATTAAAATTAAGATATATTGTTTTTTACTTGTCAGTACCTTATCTCTCATTCTCCTATGGAAGTGATAGATTGTGTCTGACAACACTGGAAATATTATACCGTGTGATCAGTTCTTTACGTGGGATTATTATATTTTAATCAATCAATGTGCATAGTTATTTGAATTATAGTTCATGTTTTAGTCTTTCATTCATATTGCATTATTTATTTGTGATGTCACATAGCAATTGTTCCGTATGACTTGTTAAGTATGGTTAAGTTGATAAGGTTTAGTATTGACTTTTCAGGGTTATTGAAATAATTTTTTCTTCATTTTTGTTTATATTGATTTATTACACAGGTCCAGGCAGCTGATTCACTATTGAAGTTGGTGTCAGAGTTGAAGCAGACTGCAATATTTTCTGGATTTGCCTCTCTTAATGATCATGTAGAACAAAGAAGGAATGAATTTAATCAGTTGGCAGAAAGAACAGATCGCACGTTATCCAATATTGGGGAGGAAGCCGCTGCTAGCCTAAAAGAACTTGAATCTCATTATTCTTCTTCTGCGCAAAAGACTTTGCAAAACTTGCAACCATAGTTGAGAATCTATGAATGCAGTGTGCATAGTCTCTTTTAGTATAATAGTTTTTTTTTTTTCTTGGTTTGAAATCTTTACAATATCCTTGTACTGTATAATCTCTTCATTGAGAAAATTGAAAAACAAATTAGTTGCATTCATTTTGAATCTTTGGATGTAATTAGCATATTAGAAAGGGGCAAAATCTTTGGTTCACTCTTTCATGGGATTACAATTTCTGAGGTGCAAGCAATTTCAAATGAATTGACTATCTTAATAAAATTGTCATCTGAAATTGTTTAGGACATGTTGGAGCTAGACTGTGAGAGTATGATTAAATATGATAGAATATGAGAAGACTTTTGTATTAAGTTATCCATTTATATTTATGGAAATATCATAGTTGTCAATCGTGGTTGGAGTAGCCGCTATCGCGGTGCTCTGGAGCGGAGCGGCCCGACGTCGCAATGGTGATGTTGTTGCGTCTCAGATTTTTGTCGCGGATGGAGCGGCCGTGTCAGACGTGGAGCGGAGCGGCCAAAAATAGCAGAATCGTGCCGTGTCTTGGACAGACCCTTCATTAAGGGTAAGTTCGCCATTTCTGTTGGGTTTTTCTTGCACTAAATCTTCCTTTCCCTCTCGCGGAACCATTGTTGTTGGTTTCTGAACGTCTCACACTCCCTCTTTTCTCTCTCTCTCGGACTGGATTCTTTCTCTCTCGGGGATGACTGTTGACGCACTCCGGTTGTCTTCTTCAAGCGTCTCTATTAGACGCTCCTCCAGTTTCGACACACTTTGTTAGTTCCGACCGACACTCCTCCAGTTTCGATGCTGCTCCTCCAGTTCCAACGTCTTCGTCTGTCTTCTTTGTTTGTCTTCTCATTTTCTATTTTATAATTCAACATATTTATTTTTAATTTGTGATTAAATTTAATTCAGCAGTTTTTTTTTAATTTTTGATTAAATTTAATTCAGAAGATTTTTTTTTAAAAATTTTTGATTAAATTTAATTCAGTAGAATTTTTTTTAATTTCTGATTAAATTTAATTCAGCAGATTTTTTTTAATTTTTATTAAATTTAATTCAGCAGTTTTTTTTTAATTTCTGATTAAATTTAATTCAGCAGATTTATTTTAATTTCTGATTAAATTTAATTTAGCAGATTTTTTTAATTTTTGATTAAATTTAATTTAGCAATTTTTTTTAAATTTCTGATTAAATTTAATTCAGTAGATTTTTTTTAATTTCTGATTAAATTTAATTCAACAGATTTTTTTTAATTTCTGATTAAATTTAATTCAGCAGATTTTTTTTAATTTTTGATTAAATTTAATTCAACAGATTTTTTTTAGCTTATATATATATTATTAATTATTTAATATATATAAATTAATATTAAAATAGCGGTTATCCCGCCCTGCGTCATCCCGATATCCCGTTTTTAGGGTTGACCGCTCCGCTCCGCTATCCGGATCGACTACTATGGAAAATATAAAAGGTGACTATTTTTTTTAATGTTTGCTAGAAGAATATAAACAAGGTTATTGGTCCTTTTTTTTTCTTTCTTGATCTTGTTATTATTTTGTCTTTCTTCCTTTTCTTCCTCCTCTTCTTTCTCTTTTTTTTCTTCTTGTTATCATTTTGTTGTTGTTCTTCTATTTTCTCTATTTTTTCTTCTTGTTATTGTTTTGTTGTTGTTTTTCTTCTTCTCCCATTTTTTTTCTTCTTATTGTTATTGTTTTGTTCTTCCTTTTCTTGTTTGTTCTTTCGCTTCTTCTTATTCTTCTTATTTTTTTTTCTTTTTCTTGTTTTTCTTCTTCCTCTTCTTTTTTATGTTATTTTTTTGTTGTTCTTCTTGTTATAATTTTGTTCTTGTTTTTCTTTTTCTTTTTCTTGTTCTTCTTGTTATTGTTTTCTTCTTATTCTTCCTTTTCTTCTTCTCTTTCTTTTTCTTCTTATTTTTGTTATTGTTCGTTTCTTTTCTTCTTCCTCCCGTTCCTCCCGTTCTTCTTGTTATTATTTTGTTCTTTTTTTAGTCTTCTTCATATTATTCTCTTTTTTTTTTCTTCTTCTTATTGTTTTGTTCTTCTCCTTCTTCTCCCTCTTCTTCTTGTTATAGTTTTGTTAGTCTTTTACTTCTTTATCTTCTTCCTCTTCCTCTTATTATTATCATTATTATTATTATTATTATTATTATTATTATTATTATTATTATTATTATTATTATTGAACATGGATATATTAATATTACTATTCTAGTTGATAAATCATTTCCTCAGTTTTGCTTTCTTCTTCTAGAGATGAAGATAAACTGTCATCATCTTCCTCAGAATCTGAATTTATTAATACATTTAAAAGACTTTTCTTAATAGACTCATCTATTTCTAATTCATTAATCTTTTGTTGAACTCTACACTTATTAGCAAAATGACCTACTCTTCCACATTTCCAACAAGTTATATTCTTATTATTATTATTATTATTATTATTATTATTATACTTTCTTTTTGATTTATGTTTTGATTCTCCTTGTTGCTCATCTTTCTTTTTGTTGTGTCTATTAAATTTTTTATAAGGCTTGTATTGATTCTTTTGAAAAGTTACTATTTTCTTATTCTGTTTTTTATACTGGACATTTGGTGCTTTAATAGATTCTACTCCATACTATTGGCAAAAGTTACCTATCTCTTTCCTATTGGTGGTACTTTCTTTTCTAAGCTTATTCTGAAGTTTGAAATCATTACAAACTTGAATACTAGTTTCAATTATTAAGAGGCTCTATCCATGGGGATCCAACCAAACTAGATTCATTAAATCTGAGAGATCTTCACCCTAGGTCTTGGTTCTCAGTTGCATGGTATCCTATTTATCGCATACCAGATGGCAACTTTTGTGCATCTTTTTTGACTTACCATTCCCTTGGGCATTTAGTTCCTAGAAGAACTAGTTCAGATTTCTCTATACTAGGTTCTTGCATAGTATCTCCAGTTGTGGGTCTTCAGAGTTACAATGCCCAGGGAGAATGTTGGTTCCAGATGAAGCCTTCTGCACAGACATAAAAAATGGTGGGCTTAGACCCTTCTTTACTTCTTAAAAAGCGTTTGAGGACACTTGAGGAAATAACATCTCTCATGACAAGGGTTGTTGTCAACAAGGGGAAACTAACCTGTACAAACAGACATCCTGATTATGAGTTTTTCTTGTCTAGGCGACAGTATTGAATATTGATTCTTCAAATTTTCTCACCGTAAAATAACTATGGTTAGGCCAGATTTACAACAAAGTGTCTTGTCTAGATGAGGAGAAACATCAAAATGGGTAGTCAGGTTGCATGTGCATTCACAGAGTACAGGAACAAGCATAAAGTTGCTAATCACATTCTTTTTGAATGTGAAAATCTAGAGATGTTAGAAAATGATTCTTACAGAATAGCTCAAGCCGTGAATGATGCTTGCATGGCACAACTAGCTTGTGAGACGGTACACATGGCTACTGGTAGTCCAGTTGCAGAGTTTGAAAGACTACTTTATTTTTGTAGTCCTGTTATTTGTAAATCACTCAATTCACTTGGTTGCTCATCCTGCTCATGCAACCATGCTGGTGGTGTCTCACTGTGTAGACATGAGATCCCTAACCTATCTTTGGGATGCCTATCGCAGTGGTATGAAAAACATGGGAGCTATGGGTTAGAGATTAGGGCTCAGGATCTTGAAAATACAAAAAGACAAGGAAGTGTTGGTGATTTCCCATTTCGTGCCTACTTTGTCCCTTCTTTATCAGTAGTTCAATTGCTTAAGAATCGTGAAAACCAATGCATAAACAGCAGTAACAAACTTCCAAATTGTGAGGATTCAGATGCATGTGAAATGGTTGACATTTCAGAAAACTCATCTACTTCCATTCAACATTCTATATTTTATGTTCTCTTTCCTCAACCTCGCAATTAGGAGGCAAGCATTCAACCACCAAAGGAGACAACTTCTATCAATAATGTATCTATTCCCTCTATCAACTCAACATGCTCTGGTGATGTAGAACTTCTTTGTGAATATTTTGAACTTGAGCAGCCTCAACAAAGACAACCTCTGTAGGTTCTTGTAAAGTTATTGGTTTTATACAGAGGTTGTCTTTGTTGAGGCTGCTCAAGTTCAAAATATTCAAAAAGAAGTTCTACATCACCAGAGCATGTTGAGTTGATAGACAGAATATATACATTATTGATAGAAGCTGTCTCCTTTGGTGGTTGAATGCTTGCCTCCTGATTGCGAGGTTGAGGAAAGAGAACATAAAATATAGAATGTTGACTGGAAGTAGATGAGTTTTTTGAAATGTCAACCATTTCACATGCCTCTGAATCCTCACAATTTGGAAGCTTGTCACTGCTGTTTATGCATTGGTTTTCACGGTTCTTAAACAACTGAACTGCTGATAAAGAAGGGACAAAGTAGGCACGAAATGGGAAATCACCAACACTTCCTTGTCTTTTTGGATTTTCAAGATCCTGAGCCCTAATCTCTAACCCATAGCTCCCATGTTTTTCATACCACTGCCAGAGGCATCCCAAAGATAGGTTAGGGATCTCATGTCTACACAGTGAGACACCACTAGCATGGTTGCATGAGCAGGATGAGCAACCAAGTGAATTGAGTGATTTACAAATAACAGGACTACAAAAATAAAGTAGTCTTTCAAACTCTGCAACTGGACCACCAGTAGCCATGTGTACCGTCTCACAAGCTAGTTGTGCCATGCAAGCATCATTCACGGCTTGAGCTATTCTGTAAGAATCATTTTCGTATTACTTATCATGAATATCCATATCCTCGGTATTCAATTAATATTCATCAATATGAAAGTTCTATTACCTTTTCAGTTACTATTAACTCTTATTGAGTTCTGATATTTTATCATTTCTTATTCTTAATCCTGCTTTGCTCAATAGTTTTCTTATAATCTTGTCATTTTTAACCTTCTTTGGGGGGAGTAGTAGTTAAGGTTATACACTCTTGTTGGTGGTCCCATTAGTGAAACCCAAGTGTGGTAGTGAGTCCATTGGTCAGCCATGGATAGAGGCCAAGCTGTTACACCTGCAAAAGAAGCGTCAAAAATGTCAAGGTTATTTGATTCTATTAGTAATTTAGGATTAAAGAATAAAAACAAGCAAGTAGTTATTAGGAATCCTAGTCAACAAGATGCATCCTCATCAAGTTCACAAGACATGGTAGAACAAGAGCTTAGAATAGCAGAAATAGAAAACTCTCTCCATAATTGGTCAATACCCTTAGTCAAAAAATGTGAAGTTTATAAACAACATAGTATATGGTCTACTAATCAAGATGAAGTTCATATATTAGAATATAGTTATCCAGGT